GCACACCTGTCGCTTTAAACTAAACTGCTAATAGGAAGTTTTTTAATATTCAAGGGAAACCAGATTGAAATTTTTAACAATCCCCATATGAAAGTTGATTGTGTTGTTCATTTAATCAAATCATTATATCTATATTCAGTTGTTACAATCAAAATGGCTGGCAATGTGGTTAAATTTGAATGTACTTTCCATCGGGGACCGTTCCAGGAACCTAAATTATTGGATTGTCATCATACATTCTGTAGAAAGTGTCTGGAAGACCTGGCTACTGCCAATTTGGAGGTTTACTGCAACTACATCAAATGTCCATTGTGTAATAAGATCAGCAGAATTCCTGATGGAGGCGTGAAAAAGTTTTCAACCAATTTTTATCTATCTACCCCATCAACGAGTTTGACACGAGGTGGTAATAAACTATACTGCTCCAAACATTCTCAAGACGAACTGATATGTTTCTGTAAAGAGTGTAATACTATCGTCTGTTCGACATGTCTTCTTGGTCAACACAAAAACCACAAGTTTCTTATCATTGAAGAATCTAAAGACGTGATTTCTAAAGATTACGAAGATCAGAAAGAAGGACTGAAAAAGAAGCTAGAAGAGTTGAAAACAGTGAAGGGAATAGCCGAGGAATCTTTAAAGAAACTTACAGAATATCGACAAACAGAATTGAATAGTTTCCAGACTGAACTCCAGAACAATTTTGAAGAAAATCAGGAGAAACTAAATATTGTAATCAGCAAAGTTGATACACAGATATCACAGATAGAGACAACCGCTGCCATCAACATTGATGTTGCTACTCCTAAACCTGTTGATGTATTAAAAGCTGTTTTGATAATGAAAGAAATAAACAAGGAGTCCTCCAAGTTATATTTCCCTCGAATATATTATTTAAAAGTTAAGAAGGAAGAAAGTGAACCTGGAACTAATTCTTTGGATAGATTAGAAAGTGTCAAACTAACCATACCTTATACCATCAGTGTCAATACTTGGAGTGAGCCCTCAGAAAACAGAAGAGGTATCCATCGTTTGAGGGCTGTACCTAGACAAATAAGAAATTTCCTCACCGGTGGGGTTCTGCCATTTTGCAGAGAAAGAGTTCACCCTCTATGTTCATATAATAACCTATCTGAAATATGTCGTACTGCGATTGCCATTTTCTGGACTTCTGTTATCATTGCTGTTATTATTCTTGTTTCAAAGAAGTAAGGCCAAATTTAATGGTTTATAGATTTCTGGCAGAAGACGTAATGAAAATAAAAATAATCTTTTGTAGTTTATTTTATGTTTTTTATACACCCACATGAAATGGGGGGCGTATATTGCCGTCACCCATATCCGTCCGTCGGTCCGTCAGTCCATCCACAATTGCTCGTAAACACTCTACAAGACACAATTCTTGACAGATTTTGACAAAACTTGTTATTAATGTTCGTAATCACCCAAGGATGAGCCCTATTGAAAATCAGAAGAATCAAAAATATTTAGTATGAATTATTGCTCTTGTTCTTGAAAACACGTTCAATTTTCAACTTGTAAACACACTAGAAGTGACAATTCTTGACGGATTTTGACGAAACTTGGCATGAGTGTTTGTTATCACCAAAGGATAAACCCTTTGTTATTGCCCTTGTTCTTGAAAATGTGTTCAATTTTTAGCTTGTAATCACTCCAGAAGGGGAAATTCTTAACGGATTTTGATGAAACTTGGTGTGTGAATTTTCGTAACCACCCAAGGATGAATCCCATTGAAAATCAGATGAATCGAAAAATATTTAGTATGAGTTATTGCCCTTGTTCTTGAAAACGCTTTCAAATTTAGATCTAAAACACTAAAAGGCATGATTGTTGCTGGATTTTGACAATACTTGGTTTTATTATTCAGTCCCGCGCTGAATATTTGCCTTCTAGAGTGTTCACGAGCTAAAAATTTAACACATTTTCAAGAACAATGACAATAACTCATACTCAGTATTATTCAGTATTGCGCTAAAGAGTTCAATAGAAGTGTATGACTGAAGATTGAATATTTGATACTGGTGATTGTAACTGGTGGTGAATCCAAGTGTATCTATAATTATCTATGTTAGAATGTTTGAATGTGATGTCGTCTCGTCTTTTTAACAGACTTGAATATTTGAATATTAGAACAATGACGTGTTTATACTGTAGACTCAATTATCCTGTCCCACTTCGCCTATGCACAGCTACGACAGAAGATGTCTTGTTGTCAGAGACTATATCAACAACACGTTCAAATTTCTGATACCCCAATTTTTGGAAAGATGATAAGCTTGTGAACAAAATAAATAAAAAGTTAAATTTCGTGTTGGTGGTATTTTTGAAGGAATATTGTGATTTGCCTACAATTCTAGACTATTTACATATATTCAAGACCCATATTAACCCCTAAAATGGCACACCTGTCCCTTTAAACTAAACTGCTAATAGGAAGTTTTTTAATAGTCAAGGGAAACCAGATTGAAATTTTTAACAAACCCCATATGAAAGTTGATTGTGTTGTTCAGTATTTAAAATTAACTATGATATAAGACATTCAATCAAATCATTATATCTATATTCAGTTGTTACAACTAAAATGGCTGGCAATGTGGATGAGATCGAATGTACTATCCATCTGGGACTGTTCCAGGAACCTAAATTATTGGATTGTCATCATACATTCTGTAGAAAGTGTCTGGAAGACCTAGCTAGTGCCAATTTGCAGGTTAACAGCAACTACATCAAATGTCCATTGTGTAATAAGATCAGCAGAATCCCTGATGGAGGCGTGAAAAAGTTTTCAACCAATTTTTATCTATCTACCCCATCAACGAGTTTGGCACGAGGTGGTAATAAACTATACTGCTCCAAACATTCTCAAGACGAACTGATATGTTTCTGTGAAGAGTGTAATACTATCGTCTGTTCGACCTGTCTTCTTGGTCAACACAAAAACCACAAGTTTCTTATCATTGAAGAATCTAAAGATGTGATTTCTAAAGATTACCAAGATCAGAAAGAAGGACTGAAAAAGAAGCTGGAAGAGTTGAAAACAGTGAAGGGAATAGCCGAGGAATCTTTAAAGAAACTTACAGAATATCGACAAACAGAATTGAACAGTTTCCAGACTGAACTCCAGAACAATTTTGAAGAAAATCAGGAGAAACTAAATATTGTAATCAGCAAAGTTGATACACAGATATCACAGATAGAGACAACCGCTGCCATCAACATTGATGTTGCTACTCCTAAACCTGTTGATGTATTAAAAGCTGTTTTAATAATGAAAGAAATAAACAAGGAGTCCTCCAAGTTATATTTCCCTCGAATATATTATTTGAAAGTTAAGAAGGAAGAAAGTGAACCTGGAACTAATTCAGTGGATAGATTAGAAAGTGTCAAACTAACCATACCTTATACCATCAGTGTCAATACTTGGAGTGAGCCCTCAGAAAACAGAAGAGGTATCCATCATTTGAGGGCTGTACCTAGACAAATGAGAAATTTCCTCACCTGTGAGGTTCTGCCATTTTGCAGAGAAAGAATTCAACCTCTATGTTCATATAATAACCCATTTGAAATATGTCGTACTGTGATTGCCATTTTCTGGACTTCTTTTATTTTTGGTATTATTATTTATGTTTCAACATAGTAAGGTCAAATTTAATGGTTTATAGATTTCTGGCAGAAGACGTAATGAAAATAAAAATGATCTTTTGTAGTTTATTTTATGTTTTTTCTATACTTTTGAACGGCTCAAGTGAATGAAAAAAAATTGTTTAGTACAAATCAAATACCATAAAATGTTGTTTATTCGGGATGATCTCGGGTGCCATCTTCAAGAAATGTGAAATCAAAGTGGATCACAGTTTTATTTGAAAAATCAAATTATAAGGAACTATTGTGCAAAATTTGGTGCTTGTATCAGACAAATGAAATATTTTGCCAGGTTCCCGTTCTACTAATTGAAGACCGTCTATTTGAAACAATGACGTCAATGAATAACGACATCATTGATTAAAATTACTACACTCAATGTTTTGGTGACGAGGCAATGGCGTTAATCATGGTGTAAATGAACCAGTTACACAATCTGGGGTTTATTTTTTTATAAACTGTAGTTTAACATTATGACATCATCAAAGCACAACAAGACGCAATCTAAGATTTGTGGCAATGAACCAATCATATAAAACAGTGAAAATTGTATTAATAAAAGTAATGTTTAGTCTCACTAGTATTATTGGTGTGTAAACGCAATTGACCACGCCACAAACATACATAATTATGTATTCAGGTTGTCACTTGATCAATTGCGTTGACACACCAATAATACAAGTGAGACTCAACATTTAATTTCTATATACAATGTATTTACATTTTATTTCCACACCCTACAGTGAACCATAAATCACCTAAATGATGCATATGAATACACAAAAATATTCAACTAAAAGTAGACAAGATGCCAGAACAATTCTCAGCTGCCGAGTTTATATTTGCTTAAAGTACAGTTACAGAATCTTTGATATAACCGAATGTAAATAAAAAGGATGAATGTAGATTTGTTTGTATTTATTGGTTGAGGAAAGCAGTAATTCTTCGTTCAATCCCTTGTAGCACGACTCAAAAGTCAGAATCGAAAGTAATGCCAAACCATAAAAGAATCCTTCATTTGACCAGTACATTCAGTTTGAAAAACAAATATGACAAAAAACAATGGATTGTTTCTCACATGGGCAGATTGAAAGAGTCTTCCAATTGTGGTATTAGAAATTTAAATACATGCAAATCTCTTTAATCTGTTTTCACCATTAGCATTTTCGGGCATTTACCTTGAGTTGATAAAAGAGAAGTTGACAAACCTAAATACAATAAACATTATTAGCTATGTGGACTCTCTGAAAGATATGCTGAGCTGACAATAAGTAAATACCAAACAGATATCATTAACTATGTGAACTCTTTGAAATTAATGATGTTTTTTGTTTCAGATGCAAGAATTGGGAGAGAATCTGAATGATGGAGATGTAATATTGAGTAATCATCCACAGGCTGGTGGAAGTCATTTACCAGATCTCACTGTTATTACTCCAGTAAGTAGATATTGACAACTTTAAGGATTGTAAAGAGGTTTTCCTATCGTTCTTTTTATTTATGGAGAAAATTGAAAGCATTGATTTGTACCATTCCAATCTTCAATCTTCAATCAGAAGTCTGTGATTCCTGCAATTCCACTAAAACTAAGCATGTTATAATGTCACTATTGCAAAGGCTCTAAGATATTGGAAAGGTGCAAATTGATGCCATCAGCGTCCCAAATAAAAAGTGAAAAAAGGTAAAAGTTAAGAAAACCTCTTTACAATCTCTTCTATAATAAGCTAACTAGTGTGTATATAGATATCTTTCCTAGATTATACCCTCAATATCAATATTTGATATATATAATTTACCTGTTGTCTGGGACTGTTATTTTCCTATGAAAATTATATTTGTCTCCCTTTGATTTTGAAAATTAAAATATCTATTCTTACAGATCTAGTAAAATAAACCATACCCATAGTTAATTGTATAAAGCAACCGCTACTGCTGACCTGCCAAAAATTTCATTTCATCCTGCGAACTTTGTCTATCTTCATTAGGCCAAGTAGACATCAATATTCATGATCCTGATTATTCTAAATATAGCTTGGTGTGGGAAAAACTTTTGAAAAATTTGAAACATTTTGTCACTGTCTAAATGTATGCCCCCAGTTTGACAAACCCTTTTAAGAGAAAGAACTGAGCACTGTTCAATGTTATTATTTCAGGTCTTCTACCCAGGAGAGCCCAGACCAGTGTTTTACGTAGCCAGTCGAGGACATCATGCTGATATAGGGGGAATAACTCCTGGTTCTATGCCACCCCATTCTACATCAATCCAACAAGAGGGAGCTGTATTTAAAACATTTAAACTTGTAGATAAGGGTGTATTTAAAGAAAAGGGTAATTGGAGCTTGTTTTATTATATAGGAATACAGACAGTTCCTCTCCTAAGAAAAAGGATTGTTTTGATTGGTTTATATTTAATGCTTTTAATGAATCTGTTTGTAAATTATAATTATATAAATAATAATATTGATTAGGTCGTGTTATTTAAATGGCAATGCCATCTGATAAGAAAATGTAATACACATTGGAATGTTTAAAAATTCTTACAAAACAATTCAGGTTTTCTGCTCTTTTTCAATTTCTAACTGTCGAGGGAATTTTAACGTGCTATTTAATGTGTTATTGTCCCATCCGAACGCCTAGACGCTTTTCCCATGTCAGCCTCTCCTATCTGCATCACTGAAACCGGGTTGAAAAATCTGAAGGTATTATCTCGACCTATGCAGGGATTGAACCCTGGATCTTCAGGTTTGTGAGCCACCACGGGTCATTAGAATTCCAAAGATGAGACGGTTAACTAATGCAGGATTTCTTATTGGCTTACATAACCTTTGCAGAAATTATTGCTATATTCAATTCTATTTATAAGTGTAGTCTGTCCTGATTGTTTATATTTTTATAGTTCTCATTAGTTCAATAAGATACAGAACAATAGGATATAAAACTCTATTTCATTAGTCCAATAAGATACAGAACAATAGGATATAAAACTCTATTTCATTAGTCCAATAAGATACAGAACAATAGGATATAAAACTCCATTTCATTTCATTAGTCAAATAAGATACAGAACAATAGGATATAAAACTCTATTTCATTTCATTAGTCCAATAAGATACAGAACAATAGGATATAAAACTCTATTTCATTTCATTAGTCCAATAAGATACAGAACAATAGGATATAAAACTCCATTTCATTTCATTAGTCAAATAAGATACAGAACAATAGGATATAAAACTCTATTTCATTAGTCCAATAAGATACAGAACAATAGGATATAAAACTCTATTTCATTATAAGATACAGAACAATAGGATATAAAACTCTATTTCTTTAGTTCAATAACATACAGAACAATAGGATATAAAACTCTATTTCATTTCATTAGTACAATAAGATACAGAACAATAGGATATAAAACTCTATTTCATTTCATTAGTACAATAAGATACAGAACAGTAGGATATAAAATTCTATTTCATTTCATTAGTTCAATAAGATACAGAACAGTAGGATATAAAACTCTATTACATTTCATTAGTACAATAAGATACAGAACAGAAGGTATAAAACTCTATTTCATTTCATTAGTTCAATAAGATACAGAACAGTAGGATATAAAACTCTATTTCATTTCATTAGTTCAATAAGATACAGAACAGTAGGATATAAAACTCTATTTCATTAGTCCAATAAGATACAGAACAGTAGGATATAAAACTCTATTTCATTAGTCCAATAAGATACAGAACAGTAGGATATAAAACTCTATTTCATTTCATTAGTGCAATAAGATACAGAACAGAAGGTATAAAACTCTATTTCATTTCATTAGTTCAATAAGATACTGAACAGTAGGATATAAAACTCTATTTCATTTCATTAGTTCAATAAGATACAGAACAGTAGGATATAAAACTCTATTTCATTAGTCCAATAAGATACAGAACAGTAGGATATAAAACTCTATTTCATTAGTCCAATAAGATACAGAACAGTAGGATATAAAACTCTATTTCATTTCATTAGTGCAATAAGATACAGAACAGTAGGATATAAAACTCCATTTCATTTCATTAGTACAATAAGATACAGAACAGTAGGATATAAAACTCCATTTCATTTCATTAGTCTAATAAGATACAGAACAAGAGGATATAAAACTCTATTTCATTAGTCCAATAAGATACAGAACAGTAGGATATAAAACTCTATTTCATTTCATTAGTCTAATAAGATACAGAACAAGAGGATATAAAACTCTATTTCATTAGTCCAATAAGATACAGAACAGTAGGATATAAAACTCCATTTCATTTCATTAGTCTAATAAGATACAGAACAAGAGGATATAAAACTCTATTTCATTTCATTAGTTCATTAAGATACAGAACAGTAGGATATAAAACTCTATTTCATTTCATTAGTCCAATAAGATACAGAACAAGAGGATATAAAACTCTATTTCATTTCGTTAGTTCAATAAGATACAGAACAGTAGGATATAAAACTCTATTTCATTTCATTAGTTCAATAAGATGTAGAACAGTAGGATATAAAACTCTATTTCATTTCATTAGTCCAATAAGATACAGAACAGTAGGATATAAAACTCTATTTCATTTCATTAGTTCAATAAGATACAGAACAATAGGATATAAAACTCTATTTCATTTCATTAGTTCAATAAGATACAGAACAGTAGGATATAAAACTCCATTTCATTTCATTAGTCTAATAAGATACAGAACAAGAGGATATAAAACTCTATTTCATTAGTCCAATAAGATACAGAACAGTAGGATATAAAACTCTATTTCATTTCATTAGTCTAATAAGATATAGAACAAGAGGATATAAAACTCTATTTCATTAGTCCAATAAGATACAGAACAGTAGGATATAAAACTCTATTTCATTTCATTAGTTCAATAAGATACAGAACAGTAGGATATAAAACTCTATTTCATTTCATTAGTTCAATATGGTACAGAACAGTAGGATATAAAACTCTATTTCATTTCATTAGTTCAATAAGATACAGAACAGTAGGATATAAAACTCTATTTCATTTCATTAGTTCAATATGGTACAGAACAGTAGGATATAAAACTCTATTTCATTTCATTAGTTCAATAAGATACAGAACAGTAGGATATAAAACTCTATTTCATTTCATTAGTCCAATAAGATACAGAACAGTAGGATATAATACTCTATTTTATTACATTTATATTTATAGAAGTTATTGCTGCCTTCAATGAACCTGGTAAATATCCTGGTAGTTCCCCATCACGAAACTTGTCTGATAATCTCAGTGATCTGAGAGCTCAAATAGCAGCCAATCAAAAGGTAGGATTGTTGTTCAAACTGAGTAATTATTTAAACTATTAGTCAATCAAAACTCTCAGTATCTTGAGTGGCTGAAACAAGGATTGAATTAATATCTGTTAACATACACCAACTATATCTCCCAATAACACCAGGAAATTAATTCTGGAATTTATGCACAATTTTCATAATCAGAATCGTCATAGATTATACCTGAAAATATTTCTAAAGTATGTTATTTATAACTATGTATCTGCTTGAACAAACTGAATTTTGTTTTTTACGGGGTGGGTTTGATATTTTAGGGTATCCAGTTAGTGAGTGAATTAATTAATGAATATAGTTTAAAAGTTGTTAAAGCCTACATGTTGTACATTCAGGTAAGAAATTAAAATCGTCATCCTCTGCCTAGTGCTTCCGGAATTTCCCAATTTCCCAAAAATATAAGTAATATTTAACAAAATTATAGAAAACACCTCAACTATATTCAGTGTTATTCACAAAACTGTTATAAATGAAAGTCTAATCTTGGAATATTCTGTTTGTTTTTAAAAGAGCAATGCTGAAATAGCAGTTAAAGATATGTTAAAAGATATAGCCAAGGAAACAAAAGAAAGAACTGGACAAACTAGACTATATGCTGAAGACTTTATGGATAATGGTAGTAAAATAGGACTGGATGTTCAAATCAACGAAACTAATGTAAGTGTGGACTACATGGCACTGCACTACCCCCTGCCCATCACACCTACTCCCATCACCCCTGCATTCACTTGTAAGATTCCTTCGACTTTAACTTAAAGCAATACCTTCTTTTAATTATTTGTTTTCTCCGCTGATGAAACTCAAATAGAAGGAAATATAAAACACTTATCAGAGATAAAATCTGTTGCTCATTTCTCCTACAATTCTATAAAAACATTCGTTGTCAATCTGGTCTAATAACTTACAGCGTATTATCATACAGTTGTTAGCTTTCAGTGTGCCCATTTATAACAAATCAAACCAAAACTCTCATCTACTTCACTCTGTATGACAATGAAAGAACAATATATATTGTCTAGTTGTATCAAATAGATTCTAATGTTCCTGTTGATACTTTGACTAGTTGAATGAGTCTCTCTCGTCCATCATCCTTATTAACAGTCACTTTGACTAGTTGAATGAGTCTCTCTTGTCCATCATCCTTATTAACAGTCACTTTGACAAGTTGAATGAGTCTCTCTTGTCCATCATCCTTATTAACAGTCAACTAATCTGTTACTGTATATTATAATACAGAGAACAACTGCTATTTTTAAATTCATTTCTTACGCTACTGCCAATGCCTTTGTCTTTCTATATTTTAGGGAACTGCTGTATTTGATTTCTCTAAGACTGGATATGAAGTCCATGGTAACAGTAATGCTCCGAGAGCTGTAGCTCTGTCAGGATTGATATATTGTTTACGGTGTATGGTAGGACATAATGTCCCTCTCAATCAGGTAACAGCCATAATATCTCTTCAATAATTTTCATGATGCTTCATTCCATAACTGGTTCTTGATGTAATAGCCCCAATTTCAAACAAGGGGCATAGGCATTGGAATCCAATGGACCATAAAATCTGCTATCATATGACTAAAAACATTTTTGGTGAAGTCATTGATAATACCTATATCAACAGATTCAGGCCACCAAAAATCAGAAACCTTTTGGTTGTACAATGTCCTGGATCATTTAAAAACCTTAAGTCTGTGGACTGCTGGGTTCATCTGGCACCACCCCCACCAAACAGATATTTTTATTATAGGGTTGTTTAAAACCAGTCAACGTTATAACACCGAAGGGATGTTTATTGAACCCGTCCGACAACGCAGCAGTAGTCGGTGGTAACGTCACTACATCACAGAGAATAGTAGACGTCATCCTGAAGGCGTTTAATGTCTGTGCTGCTTCTCAGGTAAGATATTTTATATCGTGGTTGTGGTGTTTAAAGGGACAGGTGTGCCATATTTGGGGGTTCATTTTAATCTTGAATATATGTAAATAGTATTCAGAAGAACTAGAAATGTACTAAAATCCCTTAAAACTAGGAATTTTACTCACTATTTCTATATATGTCTTTTCTATATATCACAGAGTATCTTAAATTGACGAGTCGTCATTTTAACATTCAAACACAGGTAATTCTGGACACACAGATTTGAAGACTCAAGTTTCACCGGTGAGCTGTGAACACTATTAATCATAAGCTCAGAAAAAAAAATGCAGTCTTTGAGACTGTGATTGGTCAAAAAGTTCCTTCAAGTTCTGTAACAAGAAAAGAAACAACTTATATAATAATAATTCAATGAAATTATTAACTATATGCCTGAGTTAAACTACTTTAATTTCTTCTCTGTATTATATTCAGATTATAAACAATGGATGTTTTGTTCTTCTAATCTTTATTTGTAGAAAGGATGTAAAACTCAATTCCTTTTCTTTTAAAATAAAAACAAAAAGACTGTTCTATGTCTCGTATGTCCAGTGTTTTACACTGTATTGTGTTTGAAAATCTTGACTCTTAACTTCTTTTCTACTCTAATCCCAATCACTGTCTACCTACAAACCACTCCCTCTTTTCTCTCTTTTCTAATTCCCTCATTGTCCACTGCAAGCTGTTTTCCTTTCATTACTAATCAAAAGGGTGTAAAACTCCTATTCTTTTCATTTTCAATACACAATCTCAACAGATGTTAACATTAAAAAAATTTTTTCTCTGTTCACTCTACCATGTTTTTAGATTGTTATAATTTATGGAATATTTACTGATAAGTTTTTACGTAACTTTAAAGTAAAAATAAAAACATTAACATGACAGGCTGTACACCAGATGTTAAATTCATGTTAGACAGAAAGTTTGTTGATCTGTTCCTAGAGCATCTTCACAATGTCAAGATGTTCAAACTTCGCCTTATACCTTGACTGCAGAAGCCAACTTTCTTATTTCCCAATTTGATTGGATTGTTTGTCAGAGAATACAATCATAGCCTTTGACAGTAAAGTTGTAAACATTATGACCTTTGTTTAAAGTCTTTTTGTCGAGTTCTCTGATTGGCTGTATTAGCTAGCGTATAATATACAGTCCAATTAAATTGCTACATTTACAAACTTCCATGATACATGAAAAGTTCGTAATAGCTTGACATTGTGATACAAGGAAGTTGGTTTTTGCAGTACAAAGTTGGTAATAACTTGATATTGTGAAGATGATAACAGAGTTTCTAAGCTGTTTAATCCATTATTGTGACAATAAAAGACAAAAATAACAATATTTTTACACTAACTAGAATTATACCTATAAAGTTGAACTAATGATTTGTTTAAAACAAGAGTGTTTTTACAGATTACACTGTATATTAATATTTCTAGAGTTTTTCAGTAACTTAGTTGAATTCATTGTTCTTTTCTTGTTAAACACAAAAATAACAATATTTCAGAATTAACTAGAATTATAACCAACTAATGTCTTGAAAATAGAGCCAAATCAACAGCTCTAGACCATCTATACTAGCCAATTGATCAGGGTCGAAAAATCTGCCAGTTATGCGATGAACGTAACCTTGCTAAAACTACATGAACTATATTTTAAAGTTGTATGAATAACATAATGTTTGTATGATAACTATATTTTAGAGTTGTATGAATAACATAACGTTTGTATGATAACTATATTTTAGAGTTGTATGAATAACATAACGTTTGTATGATAACTATATTTTAAGGCTGTATGAATAACATAACGTTTGTATGATAACTATATTTTAGGGCTGTATGAATAACATAACGTTTGTATGATAACTATATTTTAGGGCTGTATGAATAACATAACGTTTGTATGATAACTATATTTTAGAGCTGTATGAATAACATAACGTTTGTATGATAACTATATTTTAGGGTTGTATGAATAACATAACATTTGTATGATAACTATATTTTAAGGCTGTATGAATAACATAACGTTTGTATGATAACTATATTTTAGAGCTGTATGAATAACTTAACGTTTGTATGATAACTATATTTTAAGGCTGTATGAATAACATAACGTTTGTATGATAACTATATTTTAGAGCTGTATGAATAACATAACGTTTGTATGATAACTATATTTTAAGGCTGTATGAATAACATAACGTTTGTATGATAACTATATTTTAGGGCTGTATGAATAACATAACGTTTGTATGATAACTATATTTTAGAGCTGTATGAATAACATAACGTTTGTATGATAACTATATTTTAGAGCTGTATGAATAACATAACGTTTGTATGATAACTATATTTTAGGGTTGTATGAATAACATAATGTTTGTATGATAACTATATTTTAGGGTTGTATGAATAACATAATGTTTGCATGATAACTATATTTTAGGGTTGTATGAATAACATAACGTTTGGAGATAAAGATGTTGGATATTATGAAACTGTAGCAGGGGGAGCTGGTGCTGTAAGTTCGAATTTTTCAGTATGAATTCAATGAATTGATGGTATCAATCTCTGACAAATACTGAAACGCAAAAACGAAAATCACTTCTGAAAATGTATATAACATCTGATATGTCATTATTGATCTATTGAATAATTATTTTCAGGGGCCGACATGGGATGGTCGGGGTGGAATACACAGTCACATGACCAACACCAGAATAACTGATGCTGAAATCATCGAGAAAAGGTAAGTGGTTGTTTCCCTTTAAGAGATGAAGTTTTTAATTGTTGATCTATATTTAAAATCTGTTATCTATACCACTGTCCACAATGCAAGTCTTGACTGGTCTCTTCCTCTGCCTCCGCCTCAAGAAGGCGGTGATTTAACCCAGCAATGCAGTATTGATGTTCACACAGTTTTTAAATTACAATAGCCATCTCTAGATATTTAGAGTAGGTTGACCAGTTTATCAGACTGAGATGATTTCTGTTTTGTTCCAGATATCCAGTGATATTGAAATGTTTTTACCTGAATCCTGGTACAGGTGGAGAGGGGCAGTACCGGGGTGGGGAAGGTGTGGTCAGAGAATTATTATTCAGACGACCTTTAACCCTATCTGTATTATCAGAACGTAGAGTCTATCAACCATATGGTATAAACGGTGGGTTCTGTTTGTACTCTTGTAGTTTTTTTTTATATATATACTGTATAATTGCGAGTATAGTGCGCAGTTTTTTAAACGGAATTAAACGCTCATTGTTTCACAACCTTTAAAACAAACCACAAACAGTCCATAATATTTTGAGAAAGGATACACCTATCTACACCTGTCGGTACTTCTCTTGTAGTGGAGGAAACCACTACTATACTACCTTTGCTCCAGATTTTGCCAATCTTTGGATAAGAGTTTTGATTGCTGGAATTGTTTAGCTTGTACGGATTTTTTTCTGTACACCAAAGTCTGATTTCTGTAACGTTTATTACTAGGCTATTTATTCTAGCTGAAATAAAAGGTTTCAGACAAGGCTCAATATCATGATATATATATTATGTGTGTTATTATATTGTATTAAAGGAGGTTTACCAGGTAAAAAAGGTGTGAATCTGATGTTTTATAAAGATGGTAGAATTGTGAACGTGGGTGGTAAAAACTCAGTAGATGTACAAGCTGGGGTATGTTCTATTATTTATACATAACAGCAAATTTATCACGTCATCGACAGGATTTATAACAGTTTGTCGACGACTTTTGTCTCGTCGGCGATCATTTTCTTCGTATGCCCGCAATCACGAGAAAAGACTCAACAGAGGAATCTAAAGTAACTTTTATTTGTTTTAAAATTACAGGACATTTTCCATCTAGAAACACCAGGAGGAGGAGGCTATGGTGAACCTAAAGACTCAAATGAACCCCAACATAAAAAACGGAGAGTAACGTCTGAACAGAAACAAGTAGAGCGTGGCAGTTTGTATTCCTATAAACTCAAACAAGAATCAGCATAACTCAAATAAATCTTGAATCATGATAGAACTATTCTGATATTCACCTGTATTAGCTATTTCAAATTTGAAGTATGTTAAAAAGGTTTGAGGTCCCTGGTCATTGATTAAATTATATGGATAGAACTTGGCCCTCGTCTGCATTAACGACGAATGATACAAAACAGTAGAGCTATCTGAAATCTGCGAAAACTTCAGTGTTTTTGTGCCTTTACGACAATCCCCTAAAAGCAATATATGTACCGGTATATCAAAAATTGATGATTCGTCTTCCTGTAATTTCTAACAGAATGGAATCGTGCCATATAAAATCTGAAGATTTGATCATAAATTCTAATCATTATTAATAATCATAATTTCTTGCTAATATTTTTTCATTTTTTTCGCATTTGTGATAAATTTTTATTCAATTTTATCTTATGGTTTATTAGCCAGAAAATATTTGAATGGTCCATTTTTGATTATTGAATCTATTGTTAATTCCAATATTAATGAGATATCAGAATTGTTTTGATTTTTTTATATATAAACACGTAGAGTGTCGTCAAAACATGTCCGTCTGTTTATCCGTTGGTTCTTCATTCCACCACTGTTTGTTAACACTCTAGAAGACAAAGTATTTATCAGATAGCAGTTGTTTATTAAACCCAAGAATTTACCCTAACCCTTAACAATTAGAATAATTTTTACCTCATAAACACTCTTGAAGGCACAATTATTGATTTTGACGAAACTGCCAGTCGACGTTTCTCTTCAAATAAAACTTTTAATTTCCATCGCAAAACTATGATGTAAAACTCTATTGCGTTAGTCGAATTTCCATAACACACTAGTGGGAGAAGGCTTTGTTTGATTTGATTTCTGTATAATACCAGCATCAATCGTTACATATGTGATCGTACCATACTTGCACCAATCGTTACAGATGTGATCGTACCATACCTGCACCAATCGTTACAGATTTGATCGTATCATACCTGCACCAATCGTTACAGATTTGATCGTATCATCCCTGCACCAATCGTTACAGATTTGATCGTATCATACCTGCACCAATCGTTACAGATGTGATCGTACCATACCTGCAACAATCGTTACAGATGTGATCGTACCATACCTGCACCAATCGTTACATAATGTGATCGTACCATACCTGCATCAATCGTTACAGATGTGATCGTACCATACCTGCAACAATCGTTACAAATGTGATCGTACCATACCTGCATCAATCGTTACAGATGTGATCGTACAATACCTGCGCCAATCGTTACAGATGTGATCGTACAATACCTGCACCAATCGTTACAGATGTGATCGTACAATACCTGCACCAATCGTTACAGATGTGATCGTACAATACCTGCACCAATCGTTACAGATGTGATCGTACAATACTGCACCATAGTTACAGATGCTGGGTACATCCTGTGAGGTAAACTGTTAGACGGTAACTTGTTTAAACTCGAGTTTGATATTATATAAATATCTACCAGTCGTAGTTAAAGTTCAAACAGAATAGAAAGTTTCAACACAATAATATTCAGTAGAATCACAGCTGGTGTTTTAATCTCAGATCGTAGAGGTATACAGTACCCTGAACAATGAATCATAAGGTGAAAGGTAGGGGTGGGGGAAGGGGGGGGGGGCAATCCGGGACAGCCTCAGTTCTCCCCCTTACCCCCGTAGAAATACAACTTTACTTAAATATTAATGGTTCTGGATGACCAGTTCGAAGTTTAAATTTGGATACAGCTCGGAGTAGTAATCTAGTGTTTTTACAGTGCGAAAATTTTCGTGCACGTTACAGATCTTTCGACAGTTGGCAATCCAAACCGAGTAAGAAGCTAAGACTGTCTTGTCTGGAAAAAAAAATCTCTAACTCATCCTACACATTTTTGTCTGTTGACACAGGATGTAAAACTTCGTTTTGATATTTAGTTGGAATAAAACACTAAAAGGGACGGATGTGCCAATCATGGTGTTCACAGCTCAACGTCGAAATTTGAGCGTTCAAATCTATGTGGGTCCAGAATTATCAGCGTTTGAAAGTTGATAAAGACTATGCCACCCAAAAAACATGTCGCAACTGTCCCTCAAAGAGGATATAACCCGAATACGAGTAAAATCGTTCATAAGAAGATATTTAAAAAGGCTCAATGTGAATTTAATGCAGAATAAGAGAGAATATCTTTGTATAAGTTGTAAGAGAAGATATATTAAAGACACGTGTGTGAACCAGGTGTGGAATATTTATATCTAATCTTCTATCATCTATAGATCTAATAAATATACAATAGTATTTCATCTCGGTTTATTATAGACTTAAATTATACTTTATAGTTACATCAATACATAATCAGTCCTTATATTATCCATTGCATTTACCAACTTCCGTGATATAAGAAAGGAGGCTATTAAAGTCAAGGTATAAGAGGAAGTTTATAATAGCTTGACATTGTGTAGATGTACCAATACGACATAAGTCCTAACCATAAACTAACAAAAAATACGTCAAATTCAGTCAAATACAACAATAAAACCAAATGACTCATACTTTTTGAATTTTACAACACAGTGACAAGTCATTGTACTAACAATTCAAAACATCTCATCGGGTCGGTTGCAGTCACTGCAGTGGCTGCGTTAGAAATAAAAGCTTATAAAAAAACGGAACGAAAGTTTGATCTTATTTTAATAAGATTGAGTGGGTAGTCGACATGCGCCATCACTCGTATCAAGAAATTGACTGACTACTAGAAACAACGATTAACTGATCTTAGATGTTGCTATCTTCGGTATGCTGGGATCGATTATAATCAACGGTTGATCAGATTGTCTAAACAGTCTCTCTTTGTCATGAGCTAAAATTCCACGAATCAGGCGGCGAACATACGAGGAAGTTGAAAAAACTTTTCAAATCGGTTGCAATTTTTTAGTAGAAGTTCTGTAGTATCTGTGAATGGTAAACGATTTAAAACAAAGTAACATCTGTTAAAACTAATACACTATACAATGATGTAAAATGACACAATACATTGTCAGTAAACTATTCTAAACCATTATCAGTACCTACATTATCATTTTAACAATTTAAACAAAACAGGCATGTCTTTCAAATTTCTGAAAAACTCTTTAATCGATTGTTTTAGCAGCTACTTCTACTTGTATGGGTGGTAAAAAACATTGTTTGAATTGTAAAATTAGAGAGATAGACATCTAGAAGATCTGGTAGAATAGTTGGAAGAGAAATGAGCCAACCGATGTACAAACAGTTCCTCTGATGATCATTTCAAGATGAATGGTACCTACACATCTTGTCCAGCATTCGATAGAAGCATGGCTTTCAAACTTGAAGTCTGGGATTGACCACAACATAGACCAGGAGAGTAACTAGAATTATTAATGCGCCCACTAGTTTCCATGATTTAAAGTTCTAGTGTGCCCTCCTATAAGATAGCATGTCGGGTATTTCAGAATAAGCATGGCTTTGGAAGTCTTGGGTTTGTCCGTGACAAAGGCTGTAACTAAGGTGATGCCCATGACATGAAGTTGTAGTGTGCTCCCAGTCTAAATCTTTTCGGGGAGTCCACATTGTCACATGTCAACCAACATCAACTTTTTGGGTTTTTCGATAGAAGCATGGCTCTAAAACTTTAAGTCGTGGGAATTGACCACAACATGGATTGTGGTAGTACATAGAATTGTTCATGCCCTCGTAATGACTCGTATCAGTTATACAGGACTTCACATTATACAGCCAACCAAAACATCTTGTTGGACATCTTGAAAGAAGTGTGGCTTTAACACCCAGAGGCTGATTGTTGACCGCGGCAGTGGTGGAACCAGATTTACGTCCGAGGGGAGGGGCGACATATCTGAGATTGCCGGAATCTCTAACCTAATGATGAGATTTTTGCCCGAAAAACTTGCTTTCGAGGCTGCCCCCTCTGCCCCTACCCCCTTTGGTTCCGCCACTTGACCACGGTATATGCCTTGAACTAGAATTGTTGGGGCCCATCAGGAACTGAAACTAGAGTGAACTCACATAGCATCTCACCATTTTGTAATTAATTTATTATTCCAATCAACTTGGATGTATTTCAGACTAGATAATCCAGATAAGATCAATGAAAAGAGGTTTGGCCAAGTATGAACTGGCAGACAGAAAACCTCAGTTGTAATTAATTTATTATTCCAATCAACTTGGATGTATATTGGACTAGATAATCCAGATAAGATCAATGAAAAGAGGTTTGGCCAAGTATGAACTGGCAGACAGAAAACCTCAGTTGTTATCCTTGTAAAAAAGATGATGTTACTTTCTTCACATTTTATACGCAACCGAAATTCTCTTCATAAACATAGATGTTATTTATTTACAAAAAAAACAAAACAATGTTCTCAATTCTCAGCGTTATTAGTAATAAACAATTGTGGTCTTGTTCATCAATATTTGGGTTATCTCCCCCTAATTTCACCCGTGTTTCTGTTTAACTGTTAAAATAATTAGAGCAATTTTATAATCTGTTAATTTGTTCCAACTCGGTTATTAAAGTCTTGAACTATCCTACCCTTTTCTTTTAACTTGGTATAAATATTTCATTGATGAATACCTCGAGATATTATAGTATATTTTATCAATGGTTTCTGGAGTGAAATATGACGTGTTAACTGTTGTAGAAAACCTTTCAGACCAAATCCTTATACATCTGCTCAAGTATTTGACTTTGAAAATTTTAAATACTGTGTGCGACAGACAGTGTATATATGTTAAATACCACTGTCAAATCCCTTCATTGGCATTGTACATAGTTTCACCTACATACACTAAACTTAGACCGCTTACAAGAAAAATTCTTCTGTCTTTGAAACTTTTTCCCTCATTGCATACACTTCCACATTTGAAATATAAAGAGATTCCGTGTGATCGGCCTACATTCTGCGTATTTATCAAATATTTCTGTTTCCCACATTGTCCATAGTTCCACATTTAAAAAAGTAATGATATTCCTTGTTATATTGGGTAACGTTATAAGAAGTATCTGTCCTCGTACAATTTCCCCTATTCCCCAATGCACATATAATTATTGCTAGTCTTCATAGGCTCAATCAGGAGCAAAATAGCCCATTTCATAACTTTTGACCACATGGCTTGTTTGTTTTAACGTTATGTAAAAACTGGACAGACGGTATCACCTACGTTAACCTGGACCCTGGCGTTGGCACCTGATATCGACTCGGGACTGAACCGTCTGGTGATTATCACGTACTGATCACCATATGTCCAAACAAACACCAGGTTGGAAGGTGAATGATGAGCCCTTCGTTGAAACTCCGGTCAGTACATGACATTTCTACTGTTTTTAATGATCGGTGTTAACTTCTCCCAGATGAAATCAATATTCTACTTTAGATAGTATTTATAGCTTTGATCTGGTACGAATGGAGTTTTACGTTCTATAATCTTACTCCAGTATTTCCATTGCGCTGTGTATATAAATATAGGATACTTAAAGTGATTGCGAAATCGCGGACGCTGTTAGCATCAATTTCCACCATTGCAATTTGCAAGGACCCTAGCAGTTGTGCGATAGTGATCAAAAACGGACGAGAAAAGGAATGGTTCAAAGAAAAGTCATAAGTGGCAACGATACAAATACAAAAGCTACAAAATCTCTTTCTAATCCCTGGAGGACATCGTCCGTATTTCTTTGCTACTCAACGGCACGTAACAAGAGAAGACGAAACGTTTTCGAAATCAGATCTTATAAAATGGACAACTGGACGCAGAGCAGTAACATGGATGTCCAACCTGTATCAGGGGCAACTTCATAAATAAATAGATCATTTGAATCAAAACACAAAAATTTATTAAAACGCAATAATATTTACAGTATATTTACAAATAGACATATTTACAATTTACAAAATAGTGAAAATAATGAATGGTGTCTGTATTTATGTATCTAAAGATGGGTATACGTTCAATTCACCCAAATCTCGACAGTATCTCATCTCAAATGAATGTTTTAAACCCTGTATTGCACTATTAGATTCGACATATAGTCTCTTTCAGGGTGAAAGAACACGAGTTAAGTACAGTAAATAAGGCACAGTATCATTCAATCACAGTTTGAAAATATTCAAAAGCAGCAGAATTGTCGAGAAAACTCAGAGTTTATTTGAGTATTGTCTGATTGTCTGAATGCACCATCCTTAAATCGTTCTCAAAACACAGATTGAGACAATCCCCGCGAAGTATACCCAGCATCTCTTGTTGGTCTTATACATTACAATCACATAGTTATCAGAATCATAACACTGTGTCATGTCCTGCTTTGTTTTACACTATCCTGCATATTTTAACGTTGTTTCTGTGTCGTACTATGCAGCACTCTTTCGACATTGTCCAACACAATTCTGCGCCATCCTGCCACCGTTTCACCCAATTTAAGAGTGTGTCAATGTTACAAATATTAATAGTGCCAGTGTTCCAAACTGCTATCAGATGTGTTCGCATGTGTTTGATAATGTCTGATATCATAGCAGTCCTATAAAGTCTCACTCTATCCGGCGGTTTATAGTCACGATTTACACTGGCTGCGATTCCTCTATAATATCACTATCTATATTTTTATAAGGTTGTTTCATGTATTTCTCAGTTTGTGGTATAGGTTTAATAAATTTATTGTCTGTATACGGTGATTTATTAAACTTGTTCTCGGGGTTTATACCCTGTTTGAGATATTTATTGTCTGAACAGTAGGTGAACGGCTTAGTCATTGGTGTTAAGATGGGATTCGGCCGCGTCAAGGACGTGTTGTAAGGGTATCCTACGATGGTTTCCTCGGGCATGTTCCTCCAGTTGGTACCCCCGGGGTAATTCGGTCCACTGAAACGCATGTTGGGGTGGTCCGATAGAGGATGTCGCTCTCCCTGACTGTAAACTGAAGGACAGGGACTTAGTTCTTCGTCTGGGGTAATATCCATCACCAAAAACCTTTTATAATTTCCCGATTCGGACATCTGATCGCTGGGGTCTCCCTCGGATGAGTGCTGGACGGAGCTACCCAGACTGTATCTATGAGGGTTATCTTTAGATAAAGCACTAGCTCGGGGGTAGTTGGTGTATTGGTTGGGATTAGGACTTCCATGTCCGCTGCCACCATGTTTAGAAAGGCACAGTGTTGTATTAGAACTATTAGAAACCGCCATCTCTAACGCGTTTCGTTGTTGAAGTTTCTTCTGTTTTAAGGCTTCCTTCTCGGTTCGTTTTTGTTTTCTACGTTGAATACACGTTACACAGATAACAATGATGATGATTGTGAAGATAACACCCCCTACAGCACCCAGAACGATCACGTGGAGAGGAATTTCTTGACTGTCGTCTTCGGCATCCACTGAAAAGATAAACAAAATAAATCCAATGCCATTCTATAATACATATATTCTCCTCAGAAAGTTCTCTTTTTATTTTAAATTTAACATTTTCTGGTTGAAATAATCTGTCACATTTTCCCTCAAGTCAACCCCCGTGAAAGATAATTTATTATCAACAAAACAATTATAATTTTGTCATTTTACGCCCAATTTTCAGAGAAAACTCCTTGAATTTTAACATTTTCAAATTAAAACTCGAAATAAAGATCTGTGAAATGAGTTGATAAAATCTAAAATATTTGATAAAATCTGTGAAATACCAGAAAAAAAAATGACGATGGAAGAATTTGGAGGGCGTTTGTTGACAGTTCTTGTTAACGACTAAAATTACAAGTTGAAAGTTTTTTATTTCTGAATAGTGGCAACCACTTGAAAGATATCTCGACACAACTTTTTACTATCTCAAGTTTTAAAGTGGTTCTGATAATTTCTTGATATACAGAGAATCACCAAGCTAACAAAAACTTAAAACTTAAAGAATGGATACAGACCTTTAGCGTTCTGACACCCCCGTTCATCTTTTCCACTTCTACAATTAGGTACACCGTTACAGATGAGATTCCTGTTTAAACAAACATCATCACAGCTAAACTCTCCCTTCAAACATACCTTAGGCTCTGAAAGGAAGAGATTTTGTTGTTACCTGAATAGGCGACGAAGGCGATCAATGTTTTGGAGACAGAGGTCGGATACATTTAGGGATTATACCTTGATATCTTTGGGGTTTCCAAACAATTAGTTCGCTACCTCTTGTTATTATATTATTTTTCGAGGAATGCTCGACAATTTTAATAATATTTATGGATATTTAGGTATTTTTTAGTAAGATCTATTTAAGGCCGATATTTTCACTTCTAGTATTCGTATACTCAAATGGAGTGAAGACATTATGGTTGGTGTCGCTTTCAAACCTTCTGGAACACCCTATTACACTTAGAATGGGTTTATCAACTCGTCATCCCTTTCAGAGATATGTATACATCATTTTACTAGTAAAGCTAGATATTTTAAGCCTACCTTTATCTTTCTCTGTATGTAAACCAAAACTTTCACTGGTTTCTGTTTTAATATCAGCATCCGCTATAACAACAATGTCTTAAAACATTAGGTCAAAATGGATGACAAATTAACAGCGAATTGTCTAAAATTCATTGATAAATATCATAGTCTGAATCCAATGAGGAAATTGACTAAAGAAATGGTGAGAATCAACAATCGAACAGAGTTGGGGTCGGGCGACACTAGGATTCCTATTATTGCAGGTTAAACTACAGACAGTTTTATACTTTTTCAGACATTCCAGGTGCAATTAAATACCATTAAGGAAGAGTAGATGGCAGGAGCTGGGGGACCCTGAGAAACTTATTATTACAGGTTAAACTCAAGACGATTTTATATTTTTAAAATGGCTACTTACTGACTCTGAATACAGAGTAAACAATTTTAATCCTTGGTTTTAAAGACAATCGTCGACCATAAACCCTTATAAAGATTCTATTGGTGATACTCTTCATCTCCAGGCTGCCGTCGTTACAATGTTTATCATAACGATCAATCTGTCGGGTTGAACCTTTATACAGAGCTACAAAATTCTCATCACAACGTTCAGGACTCAACATCCCCATCTTCAGTGAATTCACTGAGATCTGGAAATAGACAAGTCAAGTTTGAAACAATATATCTAGGTGGTATTGTCTAAAGTAATTTTGGTTTATTGGGATGGTTTGGACTGAGAGTCGACCAATAGGTGGGACAAATTGCTAGGTTGTTATCGGCTAAAGACAGCAATAGACATGCCAAGTTGTAGGTAATCTTAAAACCATGTTAAGATGGCATGTTGTTGGTAGAGAACTAAAGCACTTAAATAACTAGGAATGAGAAATGATCTCCAACTAGTTTTGGCCTTTTCGGTTCCTTGGATGACTTTATGGTGTATGATTGAACATCTTCTAAACTGATTATTTGAGCATCATTCTGAACTATTTCATAATTATAATATAACAAGGGCTTAAAATGAGTTTTTCTAGTCTTCTGAATAGCACCAACAATGTACCTCAACACGTAAAACCACAAGAAGTAGTAAAAGTGATCAGTGTCTATGTCAATATTTTAAATATTCGCCTGGTTTACTCTATGATCAACTCTATATCATGTTTATTTTGGATTCAGTTTGATGTCAGAAATCAAGAATCTGTTTTTCTGGTTATTTCTCTGTTATTTTTTTAATGATTTTTATTTATATTGACTTGTTTCCAAACGAATACTATACTTGTTATACACCTTGTACCCAGGTCCCTATTTTTATACAACATCTCCAGCGTTATCACTGGGTAACTGTTTGTTGGCGAAAAGTCAAACCCTAACATTACAAGCGACTTTAAAAACAATGAAGTCATGAAATTTGCGACCTTCTCCCCTTCGTTTCCTTATTTTCCTTATATCAATACACTATTTCTGTGACGTTTTTTTTACTACTATTCTTTTTATTTTAATAAACAGTCTAAATGAAATGAAATGAAATTGAGTTTTACGTCCTACTTGCTGGAGCAAGGTCACATAGTGTACAATGAGGGAAAGTTTGTCAGGAAAGCGACTTCAACCTACAATCTATTACATTCATATGCACAGTCTGTAATATACAGCTCCCAGGTGTATTATATATAGTATACAGGTGAACCTGTTCTAGGTAACGTAATAAAGTTAATATAATTCTACAGTACTGTCTTTAATTACAATATACAAATAGAATTAAGATGAACCTGTATTAAAAACTATCTTGGCTGAGTATATAATTAGTTTAAACTGTTTGTTTTAATGAAATAATGAAATCAATATTGTAGACTGTCAGTTTGCCAGGTTTGTCCCAATTCACTTATTACATTTGATCAGTTAGTTAACCAACTAACAGCTAGGGTCGCGCTGACCGTACACAGAACAGATTGAGAAAGTTCCCCCTATTTTAGTTTGTTAAGACGCCAATACCAGCGTATATACTCTTCCAGATTTACTTATTACATTTGATCAGTTTTTGTCAGATTGACCGTACAAATAGAATAAGTTTATTAAGATGTTATACCCCGAACGGGTCCAGATAGAACTTTATCTGTAAAACTGCGAGCTGAAAGACATTTGATGTGGAGAAATCCTGTTCACAGTTTTTCAAATCCATACCATAAGTTGAGCAAATCTTTAAAAAGAAATTTGACCTTCCGAAACGGAAAAAGAGAACGACTGGAGGTCAATCTATATACATGTATTCATATATAACATTAATAATGTAAAACTAGCGGAATAATCTGTAACTCGGCGAGATATAACTCATATCAATACATCTTTATAATTTATAGTTTTAGAGGGTTAACATGTAATATTTTACATCATTAAAAAATCATCTCATATAGTTTATATCTCAATCATCTTATTTCTCTATCTAACTCTCATTTATTCAGTTTATCATTCTAACGGTGACTTCAGACGAGCTCTATTCAACTAAATATGAGCAGAAGGTCTTCGTTTGTAGAATTATTATTTAAACTGTTCCGTGAGAGTGTTTATTTTCAATCAGTTATTTCAGATTCTTTCCTGTGTCAGGCTGATAGAAGTCTTTGGAGTGTAAAATATTCACTTTCATTGACGTTTCTAGGAAACATCGAGTGAGGGGGGGGGGGGGGCGAGCACGGGCCACAAAACTTTCCAAGGGGGCCACATATCAATTTATCACAATGTAAAATGATACAAGATTTGAAAGTGTGAGGGGCCGAGGGGTGCAAAGCCTGGCCAGTCTCTCTTTTGGTGGCCTCACCCCGTAGACATGCCACGGTCTATTTTGTGTATTTTTGGCTCCAGTTTAGTGATTTTGATTATAACCCAGAGTCAGAAAATTATCTCCCATTTTCATAACTAGATGTCCTGATGATTGTGAAGTGTTACTCAACTTACCCCGTATCCGTTATCAGTATGTAGTTCCCAGGTACAGTCAACTGGTTTATGTTTCGGGTAATTCGGATCGTCAGTATCCCAGAAAGGAACATCAGCAGAGTTAAGAACACCGTCTGGATTAGCCGAGTTTACTTCTATATAACTTCTACATACTGATGGCGATTCTCCTTTAAATAATAAAAATATCGTCGTCATTAGATTGATTGATTTCAAAACTAGATACAAGCTTTGAACAATATACTAATATCGTATAGAATTAAATTATCGAGTTTTCTTTCAGTATTTTAATGTTGAAAAAAAGATATGAAATGAAATAGAGTTTTACGTCCATCTTACTGCATTATTCTGTATACAATGAAATGAGAAAGCTTCCTCGAGCTCCTTGCAAGAAAGCAATACATAGATATCGACCACAAATTAACGACGTTAGGTCTAATTAAAAGAGAAAGTGTACAACACCAGTAAATTTGCAGAAAACTTTAAACTTACCATTCAATTCGCCGTCTTTTTGAGCTGAAACAGAAATACAATAAACAGATATATATAATATAGAAATAGGGACAGACTGAACTATGGGGAGAGGGTGATGGTGAGAGAAGAAGTGCTTGAGGGGGGATGCAATATTCATCTCAGACGGAGATTATCATTATCAGCACTAATTGTCTTAGATTGTGCCCACTATCATGTATTTTGGTCTCACTCATAGTAAACTACGTCACCCATCGTAAAGATAAGAAATAGGACACAAACCTTCATTAGGATAATTCATATAGGGAAAGAGAAGGTGGAGATGGGAACGTAGAAAAGTAATCCAAAGAACCTTACCACTGCCATCTTTAACATAGGAATAAACTGCTCTAAAACCACTATAGTGTAATAAATCATCAGTTTTAAATCTTAACCATAGAAACCTCGATTTAGACTCGATCAACTCCGGGAACTTATCATCACAGAACCGTCCAATCAAATCAGAATAGGCGAAGGGTCCATCTCGGACTTCAAGGTAATCATATTTACAATCGTCTGATTTCTCCAGTACAAACTGATCTCTGAAATCCAACTGGATTTTAAATCCCGGGGGTGCTGAAATAGAGAAAGAGATACAAATTATTGGGCAGGCTTAAAAATGTATCAACGACAAGAATGAATGTCAATATCCAGCATAGTAACATAATCAATTGTTGATTTTATCTGTAGCCTTCCAAATGTAATAATGAATCACAATCTGAAGATAAAGAAACCAGAGGTGTTAGCCTGGAAACCAGAGGTGTTAGCCTGGAAACCAGAGGTGTTAGCCTGGAAACCAGAATGGTATAATTTCTTGTTCTCGATGTATAGACCAACATAGAATGGCCTCTTTGAGATCTTTTTAATTCTTTTGAATGCTTCTCTTTTTATTTTGAAGTAAATAGTATCGGTTTTATTATACCCGGTTTCAGGAGAAATATAAATGGTGTAAGATCAGAAAATGTAAGATATTGAGATGACGCATTATGCAATCTGCCCCCACATTATGAAGCCATGGTGCATGGTGTATGTATATTAAAGTTTATACTGCTATCTAACCTGTTCTAACATGTATTTTATATTTTTATATTTAGTACATTGTCAGCTGGTTACATTTGTTAGACCTTTACTACAGAATATACAGTAGTCCGAATCACTGCCTTCTGGCACTGCCATTGTACCAAACAATCTGCTAGGTAGTTAGACATGATAGTTTGGTATACTCTAGTCTCATTCTGACCACAGACAACTGTCATTGTACCAAACAATCTACTAGCTAGTTAGACATGATAGTTTGGTATACTCTAGTCTCATTCTGACCACAGACAACTGCCATTGTACCAAACAATCTGCTAGATAGTTATACACGATAGTTTGGTATACTCTAGTCTCATTCTGATCACAGAAAACTGTCATTGTACCAAACAATCTACTAGCTAGTTATACACGATAGTTTGGTATACTCTAGTCTCATTCTGACTACAGAAAACTGTCATTGTACCAAACAATCTACTAGCTAGTTAGACACGATAGTTTGGTATACTCTAGTCTCATTCTGACTGCAGAAAACTGTCATTGTACCAAACAATCTGCTAGCTAGTTAGACACGATAGTTTGGTATGATCTAGTCTCATTCTGATCACAGACAACTGTCATTGTACCAAACAATCTGTTAGCTAGTTAGACATGATAATTTGGTATACTCTAGTCTCATTCTGACTACAGAAAACTGTCATTGTACCAAACAATCTACTAGCTAGTTAGACACGATAGTTTGGTATACTCTTGTCTCATTCTGATCACAGAAAACTGTCATTGTACCAAACAATCTGCTAGCTATTTAGACACGATAGTTGGTATGCTCTAGTCTCATTCTGACTGCAGAAAACTGTCATTGTACCAAACAATCTGCTAGCTATTTAGACACGATAGTTTGGTATGCTCTAGTCTCATTCTGACTACAGATACTGACTACTACGATAGTATGGGATGTTCTTGTATAATTCTGACTATAAATTGTATAATATATTGCCATTGTATTGCTTGTTTTGATTAAGACTTGGAATGGAGCTGTAAAGACGACCAGATCTGTTTCTGTTAAGTGACCTAAACTCAGCACCGATAACCAGACTATACTATAACTAACATGTGTGATGTAAAAGATAGATTATTTTTGTTACATGATCATAAAAACTTTATTTTATATTTCAAGATAAGTTCACTTTGATGTTGGGTAGCTATCCGGTAGGATACAGACTTGTTTAATATTGCTAGAATATAACAATAGACTACACTAGACTAAACTGAAAATCTGCACCGCCGAGGTTCTTTGTCTTAGTTATTGGCAAAAAGATATAAAACACCATCATATCTCATCCCTCTAGTAAGAACTGCAGAACAGGTCACGTTTTCTCGAAATGATCTTAACGCTAGGATATCCGAGAAACAGTGTTAGAAGTTAAGGCACTAGTATATCCTGGAAACAGTGTTAGAAGTTAAGAACCTAGGATATCCTAGAAACAGTGTTAGAAGTTAAGGCACTAGGATATCCTAGAAACAGTGTTAGAAGTTAAGAACCTAGGATATCCTAGAAACAGTGTTAGAAGTTAAGAACCTAGGATATCCTAGAAACAGTGTTAGAAGATAAGAACCTAGAATATCCTAGAAACAGTGTTAGAAGTTAAGGCACTGGGATATCCTAGAAACAGTGTTAGAAGTTCAGACCCTAGGATATCCTAGTAACAGTGTTAGAAGATAAGACTCTAGGATATCCTAGAAACAGTGTTAGAAGTTAAGGCACTAGGATATCCTAGAAACATTGTTATAAGCTAAGACCCTAGGATATCCTAGCGCAAAGATCGTTTCGAGAATACGCGGCAAGAACATTAGGATACAATACTTCGTTGCATTTTATTGGCCTAATAAGATAAAGGACAGTCTGCGTCTAGCAGAGTCGTTAGGATCTTTTCTGAGTGGCCGGTATATGGGACCAACCATTCCGTTGCTTGCAGTCGGTCACCTTTACGTTATGAGCGCATCCGATAAGATACTTTGAAACTCTAGTCAATACGAGCTCACCCGAATGAACGAAATCTTTTGATACTATCGACCAACGATTTACAGTGACCAAACCTTGCAATGACAACCATGTTGTTTGCTATTCGACTTTATTGGACCTTAAAAGTGTACAATAAAACTGCTAAATCATAAGGCACTTGATTGGTCAGAATGAACATCCTAAGATTTTAAATCGAAAGTGACTCGCTGAACCCTGTCAAGAATAATAAATATTACTCCCCCAATCCCATGTGTCTTAAGAACTGTATCTCTGTGTGGTCTAACACCCCTCAATTACACTGAATTATAATATTCAACACCATATTGTGTTATTTTTAAAAACCATCTCGTGACACTGCAAGCAACAGGGTTGAACGTCAAAACACTTTCTGTTAACATGTAAACACCAGAACGTCTTCAAAATATCAACTAGTGAATATAGAATCGACTACAAAGAAAGTTCAAAAAGTGTAAAAATGCTAAATTGGAATAGCGTCCTAGCAGTAGTGTAACTTAGGGAGAGGGCCATTGGCGAATGGGCCGCTTCTCGGGCCCGTGAAAGGTCAAAGGAAATGAAAATTAAACCCTCTCAATGCTCTAAATTCATCTCAGGCCATCTGAAATCCCCCAGTCTCTCCCTCCGGTCTCTAGGGGCATCGTCCAAGAAAGACATCTCTCATTTTTGGCTTCCCTTCAGTCATTTTCTGAATACGCCCCTAGTATCTTGATGTTACTATTAAATAAGTTATGAATCCAAACCATCTAGCTCCATCAACCGCAAGTAAAGTTATTATAACTCTTATCGATCTGTCGAAGGATCTCTGTAAAGACTGTAGCACATAGGATCTTAGTTTAGTGTGAACTCCAAACGACAACAGGAATACAAACACAACCTTCCCAGAATGTCTGAGCCAGATAATTGCATAATTCCTGTTAACCAATGGAAAATTGAAAACAAACCAGTTCAAACCACAGAAAAAAAACACTAAAGTTTGGCATTTCCTTTCATTAGATCACGATCATTTAAACCACTAGTGCACTAGCACCCGATGTAGAATAAATTTACACTTGGAAACCTTACTCCTTGGTGTTTGCCCCGACTTACATAATAAGTTGTATTGATGCACATAAAATAGTAACATATCCCTGACATTATTGAATTTTCCTCACGATACTCTTTAAAGATAGCACAAGGGTGTTGATTAATGTAAGTTAAAATAGTACTAATGCACCGAAAATATTAACTTGGCATTTCCTTTAAATTGGTTGAAATCATAAAAATCCACTAACGTAACACAATGTAACTCAAATCTCGAGATAAATTACCACTTAAAAGACACCGTATGACCTTTAGCCTGTATTAAAAAGTGTAGAGGTTGCGTACAGTCTGTCTACAATATGTTAGGTCATTCAATTAGACAGTTTGACCCTAATGTACTTATTATAATAATAATTTCAGGGAGTTTCCAGTTTTCTATAAAGTAAAATTAAGTTCAATAGGTTTCATTGTATAAAGGAGAATTAATACATTCTATTTTTAGAAAGTTTGAAATGAAAACCTTGCTCTAGAAACTTGGACTGATGTAATAAGTTTTGAAATATTTTTTGTAACGGTTGTTTCTAACGAGGTAGTATCAAGGATTATTAGTGTTTAAAACCATTGCACATTATTGTCTGACTGGTGAGATACTTAAACTTAAAATAACGGAGAACAACAGACCGGTTCCCTGACTTGATGGTTCGGAAGGGAAAGTAATATATCAAGAGGGGCCATGGTGTATTGTTATTTAGTTGCCATAATGGGCACTGCTCCCCTCCATCCAACCCATCCCCCACCCCAGTTTCTATAGGCCTGGAGCACAATTTTATGGTACACACCGTTTCGACAATCGACATTGTCATCATCAGTTGAAACAATAAAGTATAAAAACTGAAAGTATAATATCATTCTAATTTTCATTCCACAAACATTTCTCTATATCATTTCACTTTTTATAAAGATACCAGATTTTATATTTCATTACATCTAACCTGGGGCAAGTCTCAATTTCACTTTCTAGTATTTTGTGAAAATATTTGGGTAATATCAATTGCATGTTTATTTGAGAGAGGGGAAGTGTTTTGTTAACGATGATGTCGACTAGATTGGAGTTAAGTACCGAGATCTCAACAGTTCCACATGTCGAGATGGAATCGGTGCCAAGTTTCCTGACAATCACAACAGTTCCTAATGTTAGATAACGAATTTACCTTCTGGATGAATTCAGGCGTGTAGTTTTAGCAGATTGGAGACATACACATGTTAGATGACTCTGATAAAGTCGCTATATTAAAGGCCATTCAGACATACCTAAACTAGAAATTTCACTTTCTATTTCTATGTCTTTTCTATATAATGTATATGGCAGAGTTTCAATAAAAGACGACTTTCTAACGAGGATAATTCTGGACATAGATGGATTTGAAGACTCAAATTTCGACAGTGAGCTGTGAACACAATAACTGATTAGCTCAGCTAA